GGTGCTCCAGACACTCAAATGATCTTGCCGAGGAACCCCATCGCATCATTTATTCTTAAAGTTAAAATTACTTTCGATCCCTTATCAGGATAATTATTTCAGTGGACGGCCTCTTTCAAGAGAATTCAGACTAATCCCTTGATGGCATAACGGCAAATATTAGGACATGAGATGATTCTCAGCTTGCCCATCCCTGACTAAATTGTCTCTGTCTGAAAATTTATTCCTTACTAAAGAGATATTTTTATAAATTTAGCCTAAAGGATAATTATTTTCCAGAAATAAGTGTTTTGGTCTTTTCGAACTTTCGGTCAGATGATTTTTATTCGCTAGCCTCATACTTCTAATAATATAGATTTTAAAAGTCCAACCTAATTTGTGTAAATGTGATTAAAAACAAAATTAAGAACAAAACCAGCGTGTATTGGTTTCCTATGAATATCTCCTCTTAATTCATCATTTTCCCTAATAACCATAAAATCCACAAAAGGTAATCTATTATTTTATTCTACTTCCATTGTGAACCTGATATTTGTTTTAAGTCGGTTAAGCGAAAACAGGGAACAATATAAACAGCCAAATAACACAATAATCATCAATATATCTAGCAACCTATTTAGAAGCAAGAATTAGCTCTTATATTAAGCACTCCCTATATTTTTCCAAGAAGCTATTCGCCAAAATTGGAGCTAAACAAGAACCCATTGCAAGTTCTTTCGTCTGTTCATTAAGCCTACTATCAAAGGTGAAATATGTACTATTCATCGATAGGTTAAGAAGCCTTGAATGGGGGCTATACTCAACTTTATTCCCTCAATAATCTCTGGATGTTCATCCAGAGTGAGCATTAGAGTTTGAATAGCCCTCTGAGCTAGAATATTTGTATACATTGATACTACATCAAAACTTACTAGCATGGTTTCTTCCGAACTTCTCTGATGGTCCACTAATTCAACAAATTTATAAGAGATATCAACCGAAAATAGCTAAAGTTTTGTCACTTTTCTTGATTGTCTGCAAAAAACGTAAGATTTCATGCATAAAGCTATGCTTTTTGTTTACAATTAATCTAAGCGGAAATCCCTTCTTATTCACTTTTTTAAGATCATAAGCAGAGGGTGCCCCAACATCTCTTTTAAGCAAGGAATTTATTTTTGACTTCACTATTTCCCCACTACAAAAGCATCCCTTAGCTTAGTCTTAAGTTCCTCTATAGAATCTTCCATTAAAGCCTTATTATTATCAATGTCATTTAAGTACATTTAAGTCATTTACAACATAAATATCGATAAAGCCTACTTAGAAAAAAAGAATTCTTTGGCTTAACTACCTGTTCAAAGTGAAGACTCACCTCTAGTTCTATACTATTCTTGACATCTTCGGGTGACTTGTCTGATAAGTTAATTAGCCCCACCAGTATGTCAAGATAATGGTTTATTTCATTCGGTAGGACGAAATTCAATCCTCTTTCCAGCATAGGTTCCACACCACCCTCCAGAAGTGTACTGGATATTTTAGTTACCTTATCCTTAAAAGATTTATTAGGAATTACCTTCATTGAATTTAATCTTAGTTACAAACTCCCTTGAGCGGATCCTACAGCTCTAGTTATTAAATCTCTTTTCATGAACTCTCAGCCATCGTATAGATAGCCTATCCTAAACCGTCAGCCATATTTTATATCTTAAAAAATCATCTTCATTCAATAGCTGAGATCTAGCTTGTTTATTTTAGTCTCATCGTCATTCCTAGTGAGAATCGAACCTGATTAGGACGGTTTATAATCTTGATGTGTTCCCATTAAACCACATTGCCACGAGTGCTCCTGGATCACAGGACAGATACAACTTTCAAGATTTACTGATATTTTATTAACATACTTTTTATAAACATATCAATGTGCTCTATTGTAACGATAACATACAAGTTTGCCTCATCCCACTATAAGTGTAATATAGAAAAGTTCTGTAGTGCCTTTTAATTCACTTCTACACTACCACCCAAGGGCCCCCGTGACATTGTGGAGGGGTGGTAAAGTCTTAAAATTAAACTCCGATACACTCGGATTCTATTTCCAGTGGAGATGATGATGATACTGGCAGTCTATCCTGGATAATAATACCTTTTGGGAAGCATAAATATGTCAAATTCTATGCAAACATGAGGCCTTCATTGTAAGAAAATTCAACTATCTGTCATTTGTCTCCGTATGTAACCCACAGTGGCTAGATAAATTATTTGGGTCTTCCAGTGACTATTTTGATGAGACAGGACCGACTTTAAATAAATCCCAGCAATTCGTGTTGGGTCTTTGTAACATCTCTCCCTCGTTCTCTACACCACTCCAGCTAGCTGTTTCGTTCTGTTTTAGACTTCCTTACAACGCTATCCTCATTCGCATACACATTAATCATTTACACACGTGCAGAATTCGTATACATTATTATAAACTAGCTTTATAAACCTGATCTCAATAAAACTTCTCCACCACAGTCTTTTCTTTCCTACCAGCCTTAGGACGGGTCCCAAGCTATTTCTTTTCAAAAGATGGTTAAATCATTTCATAAGTATATACTTTGTTGATAATATATAAATGCTTTCGTGATCACATTCAATAGCATTTTTATATGCTTGAGGACTCTTCAAGTACCCATTGGTGTCGCAGAAGTTGACTTTACCTTTGCAGAACAAACGAGTCAACTCTTAACTATTATAAAACTCCATGTGGGAGAATAGTGTAATTAATATTCTATAATAAGCAAAATATTAAAATAAGTGAAAAAATGCTTAAAAATAAAGCATAAATATTGTCTCGGTAAGCTGAGTTTATCAAAGGGATCTATCCTAATTGCCCACATATCTTTTACATAGTATATGTCGCTGGAACGCGTTTATTTTATTCACTTTTACTAATATGGCCAATAATTCTCTATTGATGAGGGCTGGACTAATTTGGCCCCCATTTCGCCACTTGTTTGTGCCGTCAGTATTAGCTCATTAAGTGCATCTTTTCCTTAGTCCTCTTTTATAGTAGTGATGCTAGTTTTCAACCTCAGACCGTGGGCTTGTACATTCTCAGATATTTCACCAGCGTCCTCAGTGAGACACGACATTCATAGAGTAAAAGAGAGGCAATTCTTGATGTTACAAATAGTTAGACTCACCGAAGATGCATTCAAACGCCTGGGAATGTTGCAAGTCCACATTCAGGCGCTGTAAATGGTCATTACTATTATGGCGGAGGACTCTTGACAAGATGTGTTCACCAAGGTTGCCCTCACAACACTTACAAGATGTGGAAATGAGGTAAAACCACTTATTTTCAGCGAATACAAGTTGCTATTATGATATAAGCTAACCTATCTTCCTCTTCATGCCATCGAAGTATAGAGTCTTAGTCGTGTTATTATATCGCCACGCATCGCACACTCTGACTTTAATTGTGTCTTTCAGCCTTACTCAAATTTTATGCAAATTCTCGAAACTTATATGAGTTAGGAAGATTAAGCTTAAATGGTAATACACTCAATTACGTCAAATTGCTTCGATAATAATGCATTTTTATCTCTCATTCTGGCCACTATTCTGCTCTTCATCCTGATACTACTCGTGGCCCCTACAAATATATTCCAGCACTCTGAGTTCATGATGCCGACCAGCCAAAATGCCATTGTTTTCACGTGCTTGGCTCACCTGCATGGTGTACGTACTCGGGCTCAGTTTATAGTTGGCTTATTGCGAGGGCTTTCGGCTAACCTTTCAGCTGAGGGTCGCCTCCGTGACAGTCTTGCCCAGGAGGTGTACCGTGTCTATGGCATAAGCCCACCAGATGCCGCCAGACCCCAAAATGTTCGAGTTAAAGCTCAGGCTCCCGATCAACTGGTCACCTACCCCACCGGACTCAGCCTGGTGCTGTCCAGAGTTGAAGACGAATCTCGGGGACCCACAGGCGGTGTTGGGCTATCTAACCGAACCCAATCACCCGACTGTCTCGAGATTGAGCGTGAGGTTGTGAGTCCGGAGGACCCAGAGACTGCAGTAGTAATTGCTGACAGTTTGGCCGAGAACCGGCCACCGATTGTCCTCACACCTGAAGTTCGCCGAGAGGTCGATGCCTTCCTAACTTGGATTGACGGTTCGGGTCCAAGAGAGCCTGTCTTGATCATAGGACCTGAGGATTGTGGCAAAACGTAAGTCAGATTATTCAATCTGTTTTTATGAATGAGACTCGGCTTAAAACAAAAATATTCTGACTATCCTACATGGGAGATTTTGGGAGCTCTGATTCTGTTTCGCTAACAAAATACATAGTAAATAGCAATATT